AATGTGTGGGTGTCTAGGATTTAGCTCTGTTTGGGCACCTACAGCCACCGTACGCTCGCCCCACGGTCCCCCCTGCGGACAGCCCAGCTCTCACAATAAACCGACCTGCCACTGACACTAACAACATCGCAGCTCCAAAGCTCTGCTCCACGAGACGTTACCTGAGAAGAAGTCGTCCCAAACCCAACAGCACGTTTTCTGGAAATGCTGCAAAATTTTCCGTTAAAAAAAAATAAAATAAAACAACTAAAATGCTTAACTAACCCCTTGAAAGTACCAGCCTGCTAGCAACAACAATAAAACAATTATATAAATTAGTCCAGTTGCCCTATTGTGTTCCAGTGACACCCGTTCGTTCCGTAAAAGACACGTTATTCACCGTTACTTTCGTTAAACACTCACTTTCAGCAAAGAAAAGAAAAAAATGGTTTCACCCCTGGAGGAATGCAGTGGTAACAGTCTTATGGTTCCCCAAGGGTTCTGCAGCATTGTGTCCAGAACCGGAGAGCTGGCTTGTGGTACATCTGGGTTCTCTTACCACAGGCAATCCTGTCCAGAACGACAGAAACGCTAACAGGAACACAAGTGAACAACTCAAAAATCATTAAAAAACTAAAAGTTCAAAATGAGGTACCTGCACCTTGTTCATCATTCATGAGTCGGCAGCTGAATGCCATCGAGATGCAAGTTCTGCCTGTTTTTTTTTTTTTTCCTGTCTCAGCCATGTGAAAATACAGCAGATAAGTGTGCTGGTAATATTGAAAAATGTAAAACAAACAAAATGAAACTTCAGGAAAAAAATAGCAGCTGCATTTGTGTTTTTCATAGTTTACTGAGATCCACTGAGTCTGGAAAGATGAAGGTTTCTGTTGTTGTTGGTGTTTTTTCTTTGTTGTCGTTTTCCCCCTGTCAGTCTGCCTGGTCCCATAGACGTGGACTCAGATACTGGACTCTTTGGATGGCAGGTCCACATTGGTGAGCGAGGTCACCATGGAGACCAGGCAGTCTGAGGTAGGCGCGTTGCTCTGCCTGCTGATCTGGTTAATGCGCTCTTCCACGCAGCCGGCCGAAAGCCGCGCCTCCGCGTCATGGTCCCAGCACTCCTCGATGGTCTCACACATCTGGCTCAGGCCCTGATCAGACACGGAACCACAGAGACCATTACAGGTTAATCGTTGCATCTGTTTTACTGGCACCATGGGGATCTAGTGCCCTCTAGTGGTTCACCAGAGCATGCACCTGAGGCCACAAAGGACTACAGACACTGTTACGGGTTAATCATAGCAGGTAGCACTAAGCATTTCTGACTTCATGACAGCAGACCTGGTTCACTGGCAGCATGGGGGACATAGGGCCCTCTGTGGGTTCATCAGAGTAAGTGTCCGCAGACGGGCAAGGATAGACGGGCGTGACACTCACGGCATGTTTCAGCCAACAGTCCTTGAAAGAGGGCCTCATCTTCTTGTGGACGACGACCTCCTGCAAATCCTCCAGCGACGGGTGCTGGCCGATCTCCTCCTCGAAGGGCAGCATGTACTCGTCAACAGGGCCTGAGGGAAAGGGCAGGCCCCGTTCACGTTGGCCACGTCGAAATACGGTACAAATACAATCCGACACAAACCTCTGGGGCATTCCAGCACAAATGCATGCAACTTCTATTATAGATCTTTATCAAGGGTGAAGCATTTCACCGCAAAGAAGCCACCGCAAGATGAATACACCCAAAGGAATCCCAATAAGGAGCTCTCTTCCAAGCAGGGAGGGGTGGAAGGCGGGGCTAAAGCCTCCATACTCACCATCGGCAGCTTTGCACCGTGACACCAGCTCCCAGAGCACCAAGCCCATGGCGTACATGTCTATCCTCAGGAAGGCGTCCCTCTGGAAGTTGATAGCACCCTCCAGCACCTCGGGGGCCATGTACCTCCTGGTGCCCACCTGTCAGGGACACCGTGGGTCAAGCCATGTGAAGGGGGTCCCCTGACCCCCCTCACACTCCACACCAATGGGCCGACCCAGACCCAGCACTCTAGCCTACCTGACCATGTGTGTCTCCCGGAGGTTTGCCGGGCTCAAAGCGGACGGCCAGTCCAAAGTCCCCGATGACCGCAGACAGGTCTCCCTTCAGCATCACATTCTTACTCTTGAAGTCCCTGGACGGTAGATTTCAGATATCAGGCCGTGCTAGTTAAACTTCCACCTTAACATGTGTCCCCCCAGCTCTCCACACTGTGCCTGAAACCTACCCATCGATAAAAAAAATGCTACCACAGTGTGAATGTTACTGGTGAGCAGTCTTACCCAAAGTTCACCATCAGATGGCAGCACCCATCCACACAGATTTCAGTAATGTAATTTTCAGTAATTTCAAGAAGCAATCTGAGGTTTAAAATGTTAAATGTATTCATGGATGGGTTTGTTCAGACAAACCATACCATCCAGCACACAATCATTACCAGATAACCATCTATAACCTTAATTTCATCACCTAGATAAAAAATCAGTTGATTCTTACTTGAATGTCAGGAACTGATATGTCATGGTAAATAAACGTAGTTTGAGCAATACTGATACGCGCTAAACGCGTCAGGAAGAGGTTAATTATTAAAATCACTTAATGAGCTGCATGGTGATTTTGGCATGAAGATGAATACTTGGTGACAGAAGGTTGGAGGCATTTGACAGCACACTGATGGGATTATGGGTAATGTTCTGTAGGGCCAAGCACACAAGCCAGTCTCTGGTGTGACAGCAATGGAGGCATTTAAACGAGGGATCTTATGGGCTCTAGCCAAGTCTGCTTAATGCGCTAACAGCTGACGTGCAGTAAGCGAGAACAGAGACCTTTGAAGGTGAGCGGTAAGCGATAAAGGCCGCCGAGGCCCGCGGGCAGCATTACCTGTGTGCGATGGCGGGTTTGGGGCCCTCCCCCTTGCAGCGAGGCACATCCTCGTGCAGGTAGGCCAGCCCACGGGACATGGTCTCTGCAACGTGGCATAAGTCATTCCAGCTCACTACGTTACCTTTGAGGTAATCTGTCAGGGAGCCCTGTGAAGGGAAAACGCAGAGCGTTCGCTGGTAAATATTTTACTGAAAGGTGTCCGCCTCCCCCCATCCCCCAACTCCCTCAGTCATATGGGAGACCACAGAAGTGTAAAGGGGGTTTTGAAGGTGGCAGGAAAAGATGAAGACTGCATGAAATCATTCGCCAGGTTCTATGCGCTAATCCCGCACGGCTCAAATCTCATTTATTCATTTCTGGCTGCAAAGAAATTCACAGGATTTTGTAGGTCCAGATGTTTGCAGCTCCCCTGTACTGCTGGGGTGGGGGGGGGGCAGATATGTGTATTAGCCCAGGCTCATCACAGTTCCCCCTGCCAACTCGAGGGTAGAGGATCCACCAGGCTTATGCCCTAGCTGTGAGAGAGCGCCGCCCTGTTGGCAAAGCCTGTGCTGACCCCCACCTTCTCATGGAACTCAGTGATCAGCCACAGCTCCATCTCTAAGTTGGTTCCTCTCTTTTCGGCAGCAATGTAGCGCAGGATGCTCTCGTGCTTCATCCCCGGTGTGATGAAGATGTCCCACTCATTTTGCCACGACTGCTTGTCCTGCAGGAATGTGTACAGACCCAGGGCTCAGAACAGCGCCACCAACAGACGCCAAAGTGCATAGCTCCGCCAGGTTCTGGGCCAGTATTCACCCAACTGCTCTACTCAACTACAACCATTCTTCATCTGGCAGAAATTACATCCCAAATAAGAAAAAAAGTTAATCTCATTGTTTAAGAACCTCTGACGCCCACTAGTGGACAGGAAAAGAAAAACAATCAAAGCTTGATGCAGGAACACTGGTTATCGACCTTATATTCTCATCCACATTGACTCAACACAAGTGACCGATTCATTAGATCTATTTCACGGCTGACCAGCTCACACAGAGCCTGGGGTTTCACACAGAGCAGTGGCACTGACCTGAATGGGAAAAATTTTGACGGCTACATATTCATTCAGCAGCTGGGCCTTCCACACGCAGCCAAAGCGCCCCCTGGCTTTGATCTCCAGTAACTGCAGGGGTTTCAATCCCGCCAAGGGGGAAGGTGGGGGTGGGCCAGGATCCTGACCAAAAGAAGAAAAGTACTGAGACAAAATTGTTATTAAATACCTAATACACCTATCAACTGCTTACCCTCGATTCTTATAATAGGTAACAAGATTTTTGATAAGTTTCAGTGAGGCCTACCAAGCTCGAAAGGGTTTCAGCAAGTTCTCAGGTAGAACCATGACCAGTGGTCTTGTTTACTAGCAGTTTAAGATAACCAGCTAACCCAGGGCAGAGTGGGAGTTACCTCGCTGATGTCGACCTGGCCATATGGCGGCTTGCGGTGGCGGTACATCCAGAAGGCCAGGAGCATGGCCATGGAGAGCACCGTGATGGGGAGCAGGGAGTAGACCAGCACATTGAGCAGGGAGGGTGTGGGGGGGGGAGGCCTGATCTTCACTGGAACACAGGAGAGGGAGGGCGGGGTTAGTGCCTGGGGTCTCACCGTTCTGGGATAGACAGCAGCACTGCGGCCTGGTGGCCACTACATGCCAAAACCAAACATCAAAACACTACGGGTTTAGATCCAAGCCTAAAATGAGTGCGGAATTTACCGCATCACACAGACAGACGTGGAGAGGGAGGAACATGCAGACCAAGGTCCTTGATACTCAGGACCTACTGGCCTTCATTAGACAACAAGCTCGCTACTCCAAACACACAGCTGGTGACCCAATGCGCTGACCGGTGAGTCACGGCGGTGAGGCAAGTAATTTTGCTCTGAATTAGCTTTGATGAATGGAATACAAATTTCTAGGATGTCTTGCGTTTTGCCAAACATTTCAAACCTAAATTCTCTCTCTCAGACACACACACAGGTTTGTGATTATATCTTTGTGGGGACTCTCCATTCATTTCTATGGGGAAAAACTCTAATCCCAACATGACGACCTTAACCCCTACCCAGCCCTAACCTTAACCATAAGTAACCAAACAACATTCAAGTCTTTTTAGTTTTTTGACTGCAGTCACAAATTTCCCCAAAAAAATGGTCCCCACAATGTATACATAACACATACACTCACACACAGAAACACACTCAAACACATATAAATTCCACTCATAAAACCAGCAGCACATGAGGATTTGAAGACTGCAGGCAAGATGTTGCGTCTGGAGACTGTTAAAAAGCAGCAGCCGCCTCGCTGAAGGTGCCCCGAGACGGCGGCGGCTCTCACCCGGAGTCCCGTTGGCATCGGGCATGTGGGTGAACCTCTCGTTGCAGTAGTTACCCTCACAGCAACAGAAGAAGACCTGGGGGTTCTCCTCTGTGGCCACACACTCTTGCCTGGGGGTGTCAAAAATGGAGATTAGGTTCAGGGGAGTGGGGGACTCCACTCAATGCTCTCAGTGACTGTAGCGCTGATTTGGGGTCAGCAGAGAGCACGCACAGCTAAAATAACAGGTTAGGAATTGCCGGAGGGGAGCATTTCAACACCAGCCAAGGTACTTATTTAGAAAATGACCAGGTCGAAGAACAGATCCAAGTGAATACCCTGCACGTCCAAAATCCTGCCGCCCTGTTTTAGCCATTCGCCCAGCTATGTACACAGGACAGAGTCCTTCACCGGCGGGTGACCTGCAGTCCAAGCGGCTTTTGCTCATTGTCCAATCAGCAGGCACAAGCAGAGCGCGGCCTTGTTTAGCAAATATACAAAATAAAATAATCACCAATTACGCAGTCGTATCCCCCCTACTGGACACACAGATAATATACATAAAAATGCGCTAGCCGGGTTGAAACGTGTGTCTCAGTGACCACATGGCTCACATGGAGTCACAGAGTTGCACTGCATTAGCGAGGCGGCGGCACGGAGCCGGTCACTGAGGCCGCGGCTCGTGGATCAGCGCCGCTCCCCAGGCGCATCCTGACTGACCTTTCTCTAGAAAGCCCTTAGCAACGGGCCATAGAAACAGCCCTGTACAAGATGCAAGAAAGGCTGAGGCGGGAGGCAGCCACCTGTATAGGAAGGCGGGGGGAATACAGAAGGGGGAGAGAGGGAGAGAGACCTAAGGAGGAAGAGAGGACTAGGCAGCCACCTGTATAGGAAGGCGGGGGGAATACAGAAGGGGGAGAGAGGGAGAGAGACCTAAGGAGGAAGAGAGGACGAGGCAGCCACCAGTATGGGAAGGCGGGGGGGGGATGTGAGGGAGGTAGAGAAGGGAGAAAGA